CATATTTGTAATTACTTGATCATTGTCTTGCATATGATTGTACATTTCATGCTAGAAACACATCTACTCAACAGGATCCCAGTCTGGTGATAGATTTAGTGTTGTGTAACTCTGAAGGGTCTTTCAGTAGTTTACTATAAATAAAATGTATGCAAGAGTTACTGCCCTTGCATCACTAAATTTATGATGTGCAATATATATATTATTGTTATGACGATTTTGAACTTTGGGTAGGGTCATAGCTTGTAAAGTGACTGGACTTGCGATATGTTTTCGCTTGACTCCTGTCCAGTGGTAGGAATGTCTTATTGTCCATTCGCTGAAACGTTTACCCTATTAAAGCCAACACTAAGTCGAACTCTATATTTATTGGTGTGTTGTTAGATTTTTAAAGCAGTGTCTCTAGTCACCCTTATTTCGGGCTGTTTTAGCTATATTTTGTTTTGTACATACGAGGTAGGAATGGCTGGAAGCGTTCTACCAGACGCTGCATCCCTTGATGGAATTACCATTGCTATACGTCGCTCCGTGTGGCTATCATAGTCAGATCTCCGTAACGTACGTCGCGATCCTCTGCTTTTGCTATCGTTCTGAGTTTCGACATCCTCGACAGAAAAAAATGCTTCCGAGTCTGTCGAGCGTGATTTTAGTCTATATTTATAACGCCTATGGCGTGCTAAAGAACATGGTACCACAACAAGGTACAAGGTGGTAGACTCTGCTGGTGGATATTTTAGGCCCCGAGGTTTGTCGTAACCTTGATGGCCACATCTCTTTTAAGCTGTGACACGGTTCACAAAATACACATTTTTCTCGGTATTAATTTTAAATTAAGAAGTACTTCTCCAAGAACATTTTTTTGAATCTATATGATTACTAGTAAATGGTTTTACATACCTCCCCTTCTGTTTTAACAATTGATTAGACAAATTTTGAACTTTTGCCCTTAATTAATGTACTAATAATAATAATGATAATTCGAGGTTCTAATATACCGCTTTATCATAACCTAGTTCTTAGGTCGTCTCAAAGTGGTTCACAAATTATTATCCGGGGTTATAGGGCCTTTGCAACCAGCCAATATCTTTCTCAACTCCCTGGGGAGCATACAGCCGGTGCTGCCATTTAGGCGCTCACAGCTAGCAATCTACAATTCTAGCATTGCCCAACCACGTACTCATTTACAGCTGAGTAGACTGGAACAAGCGGAGTAAAATGTCTTACTCAAAGATACAACACAGGGCCGTGCCGTGACTCGAACCCGCAACCCTAGGTCATGAGTCCTACCACTAGACTACCGTGCCTCCCTAATGTACTGACAAAGGACCTTCGGGTTCTGATTATCGTTGTACGATAACATTAGACTGAATGGTGTTTGTTTCTCGTCTTCCGTCTAACATGGTTCCTAATCCTTCTGTATTTGTGTTGTGTTAGTGGATCCTTGGTTTAAATTGTCTTTCTCGCAAAAAAAGGTTTTTGTTTAAGCTTTTATCAAGTTTGACTTTGTCCACTGGAAAGTTTTCTGTGTGTGTCGTGGAGATGTAACAGCTGTATGTGTGTGTCGTGGGGGTGTAACAGCTGTATGTGTGTGTCGTGGAGGTATAACAGCTGTATGTGTGTGTCGGGGAGGTATGACAGCTGTATGTGTGTGTCGTGGAAATTTTACAGCTGTGTGTGTGTCGTGGAGATGTTACAGTTGTATGTGTGTGTCGCGGAGATATTACAGCTGTATGTGTGTGTCGTGGAGGGGTAACAGCTGTATATGTGTGTCGTGGAGATGTTACAGCTCTATGTGTGTGTCGTGGAGGTATAACAGCTGTGTATGTGTGTCGTTGAGATGTTACAGCTGTATTTGTGTGTCGTGGAGATGTAACAGCTGTATCTGTGTCGTGGGGGTGTAACAGCTGTATGTGTGTGTCGTGGAGGGATGACAGCTGTATGTGTGTGTCGTGGAAATTTTACAGCTGTGTGTGTGTCGTGGGGATGTTACAGCTGTATGTGTGTGTCGTGGGGATGTTACAGCTGTATGTGTGTGTCGTGGAGGAATAACAGCTGTTTGTGTGTGTCGTGGATATGTTACAGCTGTATGTGTGTGGCGTGGAGATGTTACAGCTGTATGTGTGTGTCCTGGAGCTATAACAGCTGTATGGGTGCGTCGTGGAGATGTTACAGCTGTATGTGTGTCTCGTGGAGATGTAACAGCTGTATCTGTGTGTCGTGGAGATGTTACATCTGTATGTGTGTGCCGTGGAGGTGTTACAGCTGTATGTGTGTGTCGTGGGGATGTTACAGCTGTATGTGTGTGTCGTGGAGTTGTTACAGCTGTATGTTTGTGTCGTGGAGATGTTACAGTTGTATGTGTGTGTCGCGGATATATTACAGCTGTATGTGTGTGTCGTGGAGATGTTACAGTTGTATGTGTGTGTCGCGGATATATTGCAGCTGTATGTGTGTGTCGTGGAGGTGTAACAGCTGTCGTGGAGGTATAACAGCTGTATGTGTGTGTTGTGGAGATCTTACAGTTGTATGTGTGTGTCGCAGATATATTACAGCTGTATGTGTGTGTCGTGGAGATGTAACAGCTGTATCTGTGTCGTGGGGGTGTAACAGCTGTATGTGTGTGTCGTGGAGATGTAACATCTGTATGTGTGTGTTGTGGATATGTTACAGCTGTATGTGTGTGTCGTGGGGGTATAACCGCTGTTTGTGTGTGTCGTGGATATGTTACAGCTGTATGTGTGTGGCGTGGAGATGTAACAGCTGTATCTGTGTGTCGTGGAGATGTTACATCTGTATGTGTGTGCCGTGGAGGTGTTACAGCTGTATGTGTGTGTCGTGGGGATGTTACAGCTGTATGTGTGTGTCGTGGAGTTGTTACAGCTGTATGTTTGTGTCGTGGAGATGTAACAGCTGTATGTGTGCGTCGTGGAGATGTAACAGCTGTATGTGTGGGTCGTGGAGATGTTACAGCTGTATGTGTGTGCCGTGGAGGTGTTACAGCTGTATGTGTGTGTCGTGGGGATGTTACAGCTGTATGTGTGTGTCGTGGGGGTATAACCGCTGTTTGTGTGTGTCGTGGATATGTTACAGCTGTATGTGTGGGTCGTGGAGATGTTACAGCTGTATGTGTGTGTCCTGGAGCTATAACAGCTGTATGGGTGCGTCGTGGAGATGTTACAGCTGTATGTGTGTGTCGTGGTGGTATAACAGCTGTTTGTGTGTGTCGTGGATATGTTACAGCTGTATGTGTGTGTCGTGGATGTGTTACAGCTGTATGTGTGTGTCGTGGAGATGAAACAGCTGTATTTGTGTGTGGTGGGGCTATAACAGCTGTATGGTTGTGTCGTGGAGATGTTACAGCTGTATGTGTGTCTCGTGAAGATGTTACAGCTGTATGTGTGTGTTGTGGAGATGTAACAGATGTATGTGTGCGTCGTGGAGATGTAACAGCTGTATGTGTGTGTCGTTGAGATGTTACAGCTGTATGTGTGTGTCGTGGAGATGTTACAGCTGTATGTGTGTGTCGTGGAGGTATAACAGCTGTATATGTGTGTCGTTGAGATGTTACAGCTGTATGTGTGTGTCGTGGAGATGTAACAGCTGTATCTGTGTGTTGTGGAGATGTTACAGCTGTATGTGTGTGTCGTGGGGGTGTCACAGCTGTATGTGTGTGTCGTGGAGGGGTTACAGCTGTATGTGTGTGTCGTGGAGGTGTGACAGCTGTATGTGTGTGTCGTGGAGATGTAACAGCTGTATGTGTGTGTCGTGGAGGTATGACAGCTGTATGTGTGTGTCGGGGAGGTATGACAGCTGTATGTGTGTGTCGGGGAGGTATGACAGCTGTATGTGTGTGTCGTGGAGATGTTACAGCTGTATGTGTGTGTCGTGGAGATGTTACAGCTGCATTCAGTTTGAATTTCAAGTTGAAATCACAGTGCCGTAAAGTGTAATGTGTGTCGTGAGTCATAGATACTATTGTACTGTCATGTATATCCGCGTCTGATTAAACAAATCACATAATCGCCACGTGACCATGGGCTGTCTATTATATTCCAAAGTGGATTAACGTCGTAAGAAAATTGATAAATAAAATAAAACAAAACAGACAAACATCACACGTAGCTTTATTTTTTTTTATTCAGGAACAATGAAATAAAACATAAGACCAGAAATTTGTTAGTTAAAATAGAAAAGATCACAAACGCCAGACATTGTTGGTTACTTTAGCGAACAAATTGCATACAGTAGTCAGCACAGAAGGAAGTGCTGGGTTGTAGGAAAATAAAACTTGATGGGACAGGAAGTTACGAAATGGTCTGGTGTCCTCCTGGAACCACGTTCAGTAGTTCTATGTAAACTCGTTTTATCATGTAAAGTCTGTCTAAATTACCGTATCTAGCATTGACATTTGGTAAAGGTTACTATTCTAGCATGTATCAGTCTGAGACAGACGTAGAGAGACCAAACATGTAACCAGAATGTTTAATTAGAGGAGTGGTGGTAGTGTCCAGCACGGACAGGTATCAACACTAACATGTTCTATATACAACGCCTCAAGGAAACACGGCTTTTGTGATTTTACGAATAATTCAATTGAAATTTATTTAAATCACAAAAAAAAATCTCATATCACAATTTTTGTCGATTAAACATTGAGATGATACGTATATGTATATGTCAATTAAACATTGAGATGATACGTATATGTATATGTCAATTAAACATTGAGATGATACGTATATGTATATGTCAATTAAACATTGAGATGATACGTATATGTATATGTCAATTAAACATTGAGATGATACGTATATGTATATGTCAATTAAACATTGAGATGATACGTATATGTATATGTCAATTAAACATTGAGATGATACGTATATGTATATGTCAATTAAACATTGAGATGATACGTATATGTATATGTCAATTAAACATTGAGATGATACGTATATGTATATGTCAATTAAACATTGAGATGATACGTATATGTATATGTCAATTAAACATTGAGATGATACGTATATGTATATGTCAATTAAACATTGAGATGATACGTATATGTATATGTCAATTAAACATTGAGATGATACGTATATGTTATTATGCCAGAGTAATACTGATAAAAGGTACACACAATGAACAGTAAATAGTATGCTGACAAAAACAACATTCATAGGATATCACAGTCTTTGATAAAACCTTATTTTCCTCATCCATATACACTACAATAATCCATTTACTGTTCCATTATTTAAAGACAATAAATATCTTATTCACTTTTGTGCATTACATTGATATATTTGTATAAATATTTGTTGACCGACAAATAACAGTCAGTAACATAGATAAAGGTGCATAAATACTATCCATAACGTCCTTAAATACTAGCCTCACAACAGAAGGTAACACAGATCTCGTGGGGAGATAGAAATACATAGCAAATACTTCAAAACAATATATAGGTATAAGCGTCATACAGAAGAACGCATGCTTGACAGAATTGAAAGATTTTTTTCAGAAACATGAACTATTTATGTAATGATATATCTGTAAATTTTATAACCACTCAAATGTAACAAAATCATAACATGGTGTAAAATATAACATAGTTCTTCTAGATTCACAACAAGACAGTCCCTCTATTATGTCAAGTTGGAAACATGACCAAAGGAAAAAACAGTATACTCATGAAGTTATTTCTTAACAGGAAAAATAGACGAATATTGGTCCCCGTTAGCCTGGTGTTTTATTTATCATGAATTATTTCCCTTGATATACTTGCTTAATGCGAAGAGATATTTCAAGCTGGCAATATTTGTTGCCTAACTAATATTAGACCGACCGTTCCTGCTCGCGGTCCTCGCATAGATCATCCTGATAGTATTCTTATAAATATGTGCTCAAAAATGCCTCAGATATCACCAAACTGCAGTCTGTATTAATGACATATAAATTTATTGTATTTTATCCCTATCCTCCGATAGAAAAAATGTGCAACAGCACTTTGAATTTAATATTATCTAGCGTCAGGAAAGCAGTACAATGTCGACTGTATACGAGGTATATTGAGCAAATTGAAACTCCAGATCAACCCGATGACTTTTTAAAAGTCAACAATAGTTTAAGTAATGCTGACTGCTCACAACCTTTTGACGCTGTGGTTGGTTTGAGGCTTAAATGTCTCCTCTATAAACTTTTCGTACGGGATTTTGCCTGACATGTTGTTATCAAATTGTGTCATAACGTGATACACCTCATCCTCGTCCAGAATCACATTGGCTAGTTTCAGCACGGACCGGAACTCCGGCAGGGACAGATAACCAATGTTCTTTGTATCAAGCTTCCGGAACGCACGACGTAAGTTCTTCCAGTCTCCAGCCAACTGGAAAAAGAATTGTGAATTAGTTGTATAGTCAATTATTGAACAATTTAATGAGTATGCTTATTTCTGTAAGTGAATCTTTAACCTGATCACCAACAAAACCCTTAGAAAAAAAAAACTTATGCGACTCTCATTGAAACCGAACATTTTCCATATACACATGAAATATCTTCGGAAGTTGATCTGCACACAATCTTTCACAGTTTCATCAGATTGCTCCTAATTGTATAAAGGTCCGATTTCAAATAACGTGTTGTCTAATGTCATGTGGCATGTAAATGTATCCCACCTTCTGTCTGAGCTTGGCGGTGAGCCCGTGAAGCCCCTTCTGTGGGGGTTCCACAATGTCTGTGATGGGCAGTTCTGGCTGGGGATGCTGCAGCAGGGACAGCATGTTGTTACCATGGCGCCACACCTGCTTTCTCAGAGCGAACGGTTTCAGAAACTCAATGTAGTTAACCCTACAAACATAGTTTCAAAATGAAAGCGTTTCTATTGTGTCACATCAGAAACAGAAAATGGCTAAATATCTCATTGTTCTTAGGATATGATCTGGAAATACATACATGTACATTTATTGTATATTGATTTCCTGAAAGTATTTATCCAAGGGATATTATATATTACACTGTACTAACCTTCCATCCTTCCTGATCTCAAACTTGTTACACAGCATGTTCACCTCATAGTCGCTGAGGTGGACACAGAGCTCAGTGAGGAGCTCGCGGAACTCGTCCCGTTGCACGAAGCCAGTCCCGTAAAGGTCCATGGCCACAAACTCCTTACGTAGATCTTCCCACATGTAGTCAACCTGTAATAATATAGAGGATATTTAATAGTTCCCGTTGAAAAACATATTTAAACGAGTAAGGCACTAGTTTGAGTGAAAATATCGGTATATATTTTACGCTAAAACATTAAATGTTCTATATATAACAATTTCAAAAATGCAATAACAAAATAATAATTCCTGATATTTCGTTGATAAATGGTAATAGATACATTGTTAGTCAAAATTACAACAGAAGTTATACTGAATAAACCAGATCTTTTGTTACTTTAGACCTGATGTTCCTGAAGCATACTGAAATAGATTAGTTACTTAAGACCTGATGTTCCTGGAGTATACTGAAATAGATTAGTTACTTAAGACATGATGTTCATGGAGTATACTGAAATAGATTAGTTAATTAAGACATGATGTTCCTGAAGCATACTGAAATAGATTAGTTACTTAAGACCTGATGTTCATGGAGTATGCTGAAATAGATTAGTTACTTAAGACCTGATGTTCATGGAGTATGCTGAAATAGATTAGTTACTTAAGACCTGATGTTCTTGGAGTATACTGAAATAGATTAGTTAATTAAGACCTGATGTTCATGGAGGATACTGAAATAGATTAGTTACTTAAAACCTGATGTTCATGAAGTATACTGAAATAGATCAGTTAATTAAGACCTGATGTTCATGGAGTATACTGAAATAGATTATTTATTAAGACCTGATGTTCATGGAGTATACTGAAATAGATTATTTATTAAGACCTGATGTTCATGGAGTATACTGAAATAGATTATTTATTAAGACCTGATGTTCATGGAGTATACTGAAATAGATTATTTATTAAGACCTGATGTTCATGGAGTATACTGAAATAGATTAGTTAATTAAGACCTGATGTTCCTGAAGTATACTGAAATAGATTAGTTAATTAAGACCTGATGTTCATGGAGTATACTGAAATAGATTAGTTAATTAAGACCTGATGTTCATGGAGTATACTGAAATAGATTAGTTACTTAAGACCTGATGTTCTTGGAGTATACTGAACCAGTTTAATTACCTTAGCCCTGAGATTGTCCTGGAGCATGTCAGCTGCACAGTTAAGTTTTCTGGACCTGAGCATGAAATCCGCATCACCTTTCCTGGGGGGGTTGACTTTAGCATTTGGGAATGCAGCTGACCGCATGGAAAACCCGAAATGGCGGACAAACTGGTGGTAGTCGAGTGTCTTATCGGTGTTTGTTATGAAAGTCCTCCATAGATCTCTGATTTCTCCTCGGGAAATTTCCGGTTGAATATCAAATCTGTTATTCAGATAAGAATACAGATTAAAGCATGTTGGTTGTAAAATACACATACTATCTAGTAAGAAGGGCAGGAGGCAAATTTAAAACCAGAATTTCAGCATTTAACTGTTTATGTGATATTGAGCACTTCTATAACTCAGGTATGATTTACTAAAAAATCACTGGCATATGCACGTTGAAAAACGACAAAGTATTTTTAATCGAAAATATAATCAACAAAATTTGAACAAAATTTAACGAACAATTGTAATTCACTTGTTAACGGGCAAACGCTGTTTGTCGTTATATTTAAGGATGCACATTTCGAGTTAATCAAACTCTATGAAATGTTTAAAAATATGGTTAAATCTCTATACTTTTGGATAATAAGAAATTGATTAAAATAACTTACTTCTTCATTAGCCGATAGAAAGATTCTTGTGTTAAACGTCTTGAATTTATTTCATCCTGTGAATAGAATGCCTTTTCTACTTCTTGGAACCTTCTATTGAGGAGATCCTTAATCTTACTGAAGAGCTCCGGAGGAGTACGCCTATTGACACCAAAATTGTCCAAAGCCTCATCAAGGTCAAGGTCAGGGTCAACCTCCATTTCCTCCTGAAGTTGTGGCATCGCTGCAGCAGGTCCTCCGTTAGCGACCGTAGCAACTGGAGCGTCAGTCTTGGGATGATTTTCAAACAAGCTTGGTGCAAGACCCCTGGGTAGGCAGAACAAGAGGTAGAATTACTACATGTGTCTGGGTAGGCAGAACAAGAGGTAGAATTACTACATGTGTCTGGGTAGGCATATCAAGAGCTAGAATTACTACATGTGTCTGGGTAGGCATATCAAGAGCTAGAATTACTACATGTGTCTGGGTAGGCATAACAAGAGGTAGAATTACTACATGCGTCTGGGTAGGCATAACAAAAGGTAGAACTATTACATGTGTCTGGGTAGGCATAACAAGAGCTAGACTTACTACGTGTGTCTGGGTAGGCATAATAAGAGTTAGAACTACTACATGTGTCTGGGGAGGCATAACAAGAGGTAGAACTACTACATGTGTCTGGGTAGGCATAATAAGAGGTAGAACTACTACATGTGTCTGGGTAGGCATAATAAGAGGTAGAACTACTACATGTGTCTGGGTAGGCAGAACAAGAGCTAGAATTACTACATGTGTCTGGGGAGGCATAACAAGAGCTAGAATTACTACATGTGTCTGGGGAGGCATAACAAGAGGTAGAACTACTACATGTGTCTGGGTAGGCAGAACAAGAGGTAGAACTACTACATGTGTCTGGGTAGGCATAATAAGAGTTAGAATTACTACATGTGTCTGGGTAGGCATAACAAGAGCTAGAATAACTACATGTGTCTGGGTAGGCATAACAACAGCTAGACTTTTTACATGTGTCTGGATGGAGATTTAACCATTTGAGCACCAGTGTGCTCAATATCAATATGTTTCACATGATTCAAAGCTGAGACTCTAACAAGTATTGTAAGTCGGGTATAGAGAGGCTCTTACTTTGTGTCGAAGTGCTGCATGAAATCAGCATATTTGACATTTCCATCCTCATCTAATGGGAGCTTATCTACGAAATGGTCAAACTGGGTATCGGTCAGGTGGAACTGGAACTTGCTTTCCATGGCTGCACGGAATTCTTCTAGGCTGATGACATTTAATCCCAGTTTGTCAATGCTCCTACAATACAAATGTTTGTCAGAGAGGATTTTAATATACAAAATTCGACATAACAGCGCTTTTCATAAAACTTTACAAAAGTAACTTCGTAATAGAAATGAAAGATATCCATGTAAGGGATACCAGCGAGCGATTTATTTCCCCGAAAGTTTAAATGTTCATTACAATCAATATTTAAATGCCATCATTTTTATCACGAATTCAAGCATTCATGAATGAAAACCTTCATAGTCTGGAAAAGACAATAAGCGCAAAACGAATGTGACTTGAAGTGGTCAAACATATAAATAAACACGTTGTACATGTTTTTCATCTATCCTTGCATTAAAGTGGTGTTCTACTGAATATTACAGTAGGCATGGAGAGGTTACAGAGTCAAGGTTACAAGGTCAAGGTTACAAGGTCAGGGTTACAATGTCAAGGTTACAAGGTCAAGGTTACAGAGTCAAGGTTACAAGGTCAGGGTTACAAGGTCAAGGTTACAAGGTCAAGGTAACAGGCATCAGATAAGTTTTGTGTTATATAGACATACGTTGGTGCCTTTTAGAATACAGAGATTCACCCAAGGTCACGGCAGGGTCATACATACTTGAATGTACCCAGTAGAGACAGGAAGTCCCTTTGGAACATGTTCATCAATTGCACCTCAATGCTACTCATGGTAGAGCCACCCCCGGGACTGTCAGGGCGCTTGTTCACCCTGCAAACATAAATCAGCAAAATTAGCACTAGGTACTCGTAAGTCATGAAATCATGTAGTAAAATATGTTACAAAATGTATGTATAATACCTTTAAACGTCGTATATAATCACAGAGCAGGTTAATGGCCTGCATCGCCGTAAAGTCAATGTAAAGTATATCTGAGTAAGTAACACAACTCCTGTAACTGCATCACAGCAGATAGCTGGGAACTATAATGTAATACAGACATCATCAGAACACTTTGTCTTCAGATGCTGATATTTATAAACACATCTTTTCTTCCTAGATCAAGACAATAACACTAGGTGTTGTACTTGATGTATTAAACACTAGAACACAAAGTCTACTACCGATGATTAGTAACTCCTGGTGTTGTAATTCTAAAGTGTTATGTGTAACAATCATTGTGGCTCTACCTTTCTACATACATTATGTAAATACTAGTTTGTTTAACACTATAATCATATAAGACAAGTATGTCTCTAACGTCTGTCGCTACTGTTGATGTGGTTTCTTGTTATAATGTAAATGAAGTAGAGCAATGAAATACTGAATTCAAATTATGTACAGATTATTATATCATATACAAGTATTTGTAAGTAGGAGAAAAAAATCAAACAGGTTAAAAAGTAAATGACTGGCCTATTACTTTTATCACTTAGTGGATTGGTACTGCTGAAGAAATAGTACTCGGGTATACAAAGAGTGAAATCCGAGGGGAGTGTAGGAGAACACTACACCATAGGAAAGGTTACAAACACTACTACACTACTGGTGTAATCAGTAAAGCCTAAAAACGAACTATTGAATAATAAAACAAACTACATACCCCATGTACATGTAATATAATTACTAATCAGCAATAGAAAAGAAAAAAAAATTAGGGGGAAAAGAAATCAAAATTCTTTCGATTGTTAACTTGAAAATAAATATGCTACCAGTTATCTCCCCCATACTAGTAGTGACTAAATCAATATAGCCAATTATCTCCCCTATTCTACTAATGGCCACGTTAATCAATATCACCAGTTATTTCCCCTATACTTAGTCAAGTAGAGAGGTCAAAAGTTCTTGAAAGCAGATCACCATCACCATGGCGGTAAAATAGAACTATCTACACAGTCACACTTTGTACTACTAATACAAATACTGATACCTGTCCAGCTGCTCCGGAATGTAGGTGACAGTAAGCGACATTACAGGTAAACTTCGGACATTTTATTATGCTAAAATATTGTTAAATTCATATGTTCCACTCAGTATTATGTATTTGTAACCAGAAATACCTTTCATGGAGATAGCTTTCAGTTGTTGTTATTTTGAGCTGTTATTCATAGATTGCAAAAAACATGTATTTGAAATACTGCTCTTGCATGACTTATTAAGTAAATACACAAATAGTACGACTTTTACAATAGCTCTTATCAGTATTAGCTTTATCTATGGCTACCATTGACATCACAGCAGCAACAGGACAGTAACCATGGCAACAACTACTGTGTTTATCGGGTAACCACAACCGCAGCACCATATATAGCCACCGGAACAGCACACGTCTCCATGGCGATGAACGGGAAGATGCCATGGTGAAGACAGAGTTGCTACACACTGAGTGCTACAATAGATGATGTGTACACCCAGGAGATAGATCACACCAAATAAGGGCAGACAAGTGTACAACACTCTGAACTGTAATGGAAACAAGAAAACTAACAGTCGGACTAGCCTGTGTTTGTTGTTAGTGAGGATGTTGTGGGTCATGCCGGTCTCTGATCGGTCCTGGAAACGATGAAGAAACTCCCTGTAGGGGACACCCTCACGACGTGCCTGCACACTACAGCGGGACAGGAACGCTGCTAGCAGCTTCTTCTCTAGGGTCAGACCGTAGGCCCCTAGTACCGTCAGGAAGTCGTCAAAAGCCACCTGTTGCAACAGATCACATTTTTCCTCATTCTCACAAAAAACAAATACTGGAAGTTATCGCTAGACAATTATCCTTATAATAAGACATGAGGAGATGATTAGTTATTGCAAATTTTATGGAGATGCAATTATGAAAAGAATTTTCTAGTATAACAGTCTCTGTTCATGTCGTGAGTTAAGATTTGTCGGCAGAAGAACAATGCCGAAATAAGTATTGGCGACGTTAAAGTGGTTTTAAGAAAATTTCCATTGGTCACGTGAAATACTAATTACAATATTCAAACTTTTACTAGTAAATTTAAACAGTAATTCGCGACTTACAACTCCGGAATTCTTCTCGTCCTTGGCTTCAAACGCTTCCTTCATGTTATGGCAGCCCTCTCGGAATTTGTTTTTCATCCATCTTTCCACATCCAAGGATTGCTTCCTTTCAATCTCCTTCCGTCGTGGTGATCGATTGGAGTTGCCTGGCAACACAAAATTGGTAAATTAGTTGGCTCGGGACAGACTTCTAGCAAAGAACCATTTCCTTATCTACCCTTCAACAGCCTTCTACTGGATAGAACAGTCAGTGCAGTACTTTACTAATACTAGTAATATATGAAATCAGAGATACGATAAAGTATGCACAATATTAGATATGCTACAATTGAAATATGAGTTAAATCATCGTGAAAGTTAACACATTAAGGAAAACATTTATCAAAACAAATTCCCTGACATTTCCCACTAAGAAACTTGGGATATGATACTTTCTTTTTCTGTGATAATTATTATTGCTCTTTATTAATATATGTGATTATCTCCCTTTACTTGTAATATAATGTGTTATTGTTATTTTACATATGTTTGTCGCAATAATAGCTCTCAAAAGCTAATGTTCTTTAATTATATGTATGAGACTTTAAATAAAGTATCTTGTATTTTGTAAGTCAAGTGTTGAAGACATAATAATGTACCGGGATCTTTTATATTAAATAAGGGAACAAACATTGTTTTTGATAAATTCAAAATTATATTTTAAGAAAAAATGAAAAAAGGCAAGAAAACAAAAGAAATGTGTTTTGGATTATTGCATATTGAAGAAAACTGTACATGCATACAAAACGTCAAAGTTCTTCAAAAACTACCACCTTAATTAAAATGTCTACAATGCATCCACGCAAGTTACTGTAAAGCACCCTTGAATGAAGAGAGAGTCATTCAAGAGGATTAGAATCTGTTGGTAATGAAAATAAATAAGAAACAGAAATAATATCCAGTTGTGTTATGAAAAAATACAAGCTCTTGGTTTATCGTACAGAAAATGTGAAACAAACATCATCTAAAGAGTTACATCAGCATTATTATTTTCATTATTATTATTAAGTTTAATTATTTTTTCTGAAGTTACTTTTAGCTATTATTTAGCTTATTTTCGGCCGGGATATACACTTAAAACGTCAAAAAATAATAAAATCTACAAAACATTTGATACAGCAAGTTAGAAGATGAACATGTAGATTTGATGAAAATGTAACATATAGGTCATGATCTGCTGACAATTTTATCTAAATGGAGGTCATTAAATACTTATATACTAGAGAGGTTTACACATCCGAAAGTACCATCTGAAGAGCAAACTGGGCATTTAAGTGTTACTGATAAACACAAATTATTTTTATCACATTCTTTCAGATTCAGAATACCTTCATTATGTTTTTGGAGATGTGGATATTACAGAATATTGGAAAAATACAGCTGTGAGCATAAGATGACCTCTAAAACAGATGATGACCTTGACTGATTTTAGATACAAATGGCTCAAACAAGGTTTAGTATTCCGTTAGAGAAATTTGATTATACATGGTTAAAACCCATCACACCTGTAAATAGATACAAAACAAAAGGCACTCCAGTAAACAGTTTCCGTCAAACGCCTACTGGGCACACGTAGTAAATCGTGTCCTCCCCGAGTCTCCATCAACCGTTACACCACGCTCGTCCAAACTAACACAGTCTGGACTCCAGCTATCAACATTCATTTGTAGACTGATATGGCTCACACTATTTTCAATGAACACGCCTTTATTTTGATTTTATTCTTATGTTGGTCATGAAGTAAAAGAATAGCACAAGGAGTACAAATGGAAGAAGAGTATCATGAACCCGAGGAGGGGGGGGGNGGAGGGAAATATCAAGGACTAGGAAGAGACAGAATCTCATTACTAGAGAGGGGAGTATCCAGGAAAAGAGAGGGAACGTATCATGGGCTAAAGAGGGATCGTGACTGGGAGGGGGAGTACCATGCACTAGGGAAGGAAGAAAATAGGACAACGGAGGGAGGGAATCTTAATATGGGAATATCCAAAATAAGGGAGGTGGTATCACGGACTAGGGATGGGAATATCCAAAATAAGGGAGGGGACCCCTATCACGGACTAGGAATGGGAATATCCAAAATAAGGGAGGGGGTATCACGGACTAGGGATGGGAATATCCAAAATAAGGGAGGGGGTATCACGGACTAGGGATGGGAATATCCAGAACAAGAGAGGGGGTATCACAGACTAGGGATGGGAATATCCAAAATAAGGGAGGGGGTATCACGGCTAGGGATGGGAATATCCAAAATAAGGGAGGGGGTATCACGGACTAGGGATGGGAATATCCAGAACAAGAGAGGGGGTATCACAGACTAGGGATGGGAATATTATGTGCTAGGGAAGGAAATATCATGAGTTAGGGATGGGAATATCGTGGATTAGGCAAGGAAATATCATGAGTTAAGGAGGGGGATATCGTGGACTAGGGAGGAAGTAATTGTGGATGAAGGAAGGAAACATTATGTGCTAGGGAGGCGAGTTTCTATTATTAAAATATTAAATATTATGGGAAGGTGTTTTTTGTAAGTAATTGGTGACAAAATCCAAGTCCAAAAAGGTGCTGTTCTCCTGTCAATGATATGCATTTCATACGTCACAAAGTATCGCTGCTGATTCCAAGCACAAAGAGATTTTTGAAGTTCTAAACAAAAACTTATTTTTAACATTTTATCTTGTTAATGGATCTTTTTCCGAGAAATGGAAAAAAGGATTTTTTCATTTTTTTTTCATCATATAATGCAGTGACTTTGTGCGTGAGTTTTGAGTGTCATGTCAGTAGATGGAGGTGTCGGATTGGACAGTATCTACACAACTCACCACCATATTCCTCTAGCTCCGGAACCTCCTCGATTTTAGCCTTTTTGTTTGTTTTCTTTTTACTTTTTTTGCGTTCTGGATGTTTTTGAGAAATGATGAATTCAGACTTATTATTTCATTCCACACAAAGCGTCAATTTAGTAATGTTAAAAGCATCAGATCATAAATAATCACACATGAAGTAAGACCTGTTTTACATGCCAATAAAAACCAAAACAGTCACGTGTGACACCGGAATCGTTTACTACGTATTTCACCAGGTTGTTCTACATGTGTCGGCATGTATCATATTGGCAATACTTATAAGATGTATTATAAATGTTCACACAATATAGCAGTTGTAGCATGCACACAAGCAAACTAATTCACTCAATTAAAATTAATAGCAAAACAATCTCGCTTAGGGTTTTAACAATTATACATATTCTGTTTTGGGGTTAAAGATGAATGATGACTTTTGGACTGGATAATTGTTTGTCTGTGTTTATGGCGTGCATGTTAACAACAGTGTAAACAATAACAGCGTCACGTGCCCTACCTCCAGGCTCAGCGATCGGAGATAGCACGGCGCGGGGTTTATTGGGAGTCCCACTTCGGAAGGTGATCCCGAGGCTGTTTAGCAGTCTCTCCGCTCCAATGGTTCCTGTGCTTTTAGGGTCGTACCTAAACAGGTAAAAATCATAGGACAGATGTAAAACAGGAAAAACAATTTAGTGTTACTGTTCTTAGGGTAGCTTGTATGGAAATGTTCCTTCGTGTAGTGTTTTACAGAGCTCGTTTTACCAGTAGTTACATGGTTTACCGATCATAACACCTGCCTCTTTCATGTCCCATGGACTTACTACTAACGCTGACAAAAAGCTACATATACTTACTTTTTCCATAATTTTTCGAATTCTGAATCCTCCATATAGAACATGAGCTTGTTACACATTTGTTTAAACTCTGATTTAAGGATTCTCCCAGAACCGCCGGGGTTGATTTGTGGGATCAGGTCCGCTATGTCCAGGAACCTACAACATTAAACCGTTTAATCAGGCCGAGGTATTACTAATCTCTGTCCACTGTATTACATATCTATAAATTGCTTCAATTATAATTCAATCAATTACTTATTAAATTGAGTTTCTTATATGTAATGTATATACTAATTAACCTCCCTTTCACCCATCCGGTATGGAAATCACTACCACTGTCTCTGTCATGGATATGAAATCTGTTGTTTCATGTTGTCTCGGATATTTCATATTAAAATTCTAGTATGTATATGTCAGTTAGTTTTCTCACATCTATCATATTCTGTATAAACATCAACTCAGTTCAGGAAAAAGATATTTATGTATCAACCACAGAGCCAGAAAAGGATAGAGGAAGTGAGAGGTTACGTGAACAACCCCTTCAGTCTATCTCAAACACAACTTTGTGTTAACAAGAACATACTAAGTACAACCCACCTCTGCTTGGCCTTCTCCCTGAGCTGGGCGTGGACCTCACCAGAGGACATGGAGGCCTTGTCCGAGGCATAGTTTCTCTGGACGGGGTCCATCCACTGGGGATAATCGTCGGGCATCTCACGGAAATGTGCGAACAACTCTGTATAGTTGACCATCTGTCGGTCAGAGAAACCGAATCGGTCCATCAATCTGTTGAAAACAGACTGCCCCATCTCCTGGGTCAGGACAGTGACCAGAATCCGGTGTAAGGCTTCCCTGTAAATGGACATGTGAAGACTCAGATCATTATGAAAAACATGGCGACAAAGATGATAAGGAAAACAAGGAGACAATTTGGTAATGAAAGATAATTCAAATGACGAGGAGAGAGATATTAATGACGAGGAGAGAGATATTAATGACAAGGAGAGAGATATTAATGACAAGGAGAGAGATATTAATGACGAGGAGAGAGATATTAATTACAAGGAGAGATATTAATGACGAGGAGAGGGATATTAATGACAAGGAGAGAGATATTAATGACAAGGAGAGATATATTAATGACGAGGAGAGAGATATTAATTACAAGGAGAGATATTAATGACAAGGAGAGAGATATTAATGACAAGGAGAGAGATATTAATGACAAGGAGAGAGATATTAATGACGAGGAGAGAGATATTAATGACAAGTAGAGATATTAATGACGAGGAGAGAGATATTAATGACGAGGAGAGAGATATTAATTACAAGGAGAGAGATATTAATGACAAGGAGAGAGATATTAATGACGAGGAGAGAGATATTAATTACAAGGAGAGATATTAATGACAAGGAGAGAGATATTAATGACAAGGAGAGAGATATTAATGACAAGGAGAGATATATTAATGACGAGGAGAGAGATATTAATGACAAGGAGAGAGATATTAATGACAAGGAGAGAGATATTAATGACAAGGAAGAGATATTAATCACAAGGAGAGAGATATTAATGACGAGGAGAGAGATATTAATTACAGGGAGAGAGATATTAATGAATGACATGGAGAGAGATTTCCTGAATTCTGGAGAAGGACAATGCCATTGACAGATCATTTTACATTAACATTACCAGTTTAGGCAGCATGACTTACCGTGATACATTTCCTTTCTGTTCTGGGTCCATGTCTTTAAATCTTTTCTTTACTTCATAAAAACTTCCTCTCATCTTCTGTCTTAGCCTTGCCTCAATCTAACAATAAATACTTAGTATATCAAAAAACATACACAATCACAGCATAAATGATGATATCTACCAAACGAAGCAAATAATTTAAAATTATCACACCCAGTGTATCACATTATACATCCAGCGCATCACATTATACATCCAGTGTATCACATTATACATCCAGTATATCACAGTATAAAAGATGACAAAGTAAAAAACGTATTGTTTAATAAAAAAAAAAGATAAATGCCGATCGTATCACATACTATTTTATAGCTCTTATTTCTGTAGAATATTTCTGTAGAATATTTCTGTTATCATTTATAAAGATCATAACGGTTTTATGACACTGACCTCGTCCACCTCTAGCCTTGCACGTGTGGAAGCGTTGGACAGTCGGGAGGACACGCGACTTTCCGCGCCCATTCTGCTCATCACTACGTCAGCTCTGCTACCTGGAAACAACACACAACGCTCTATGAGATATCCGGGAAACAGTGTAATGTTAGCATATAGTCCAATCAGTGTTAAACCTCTTGTCATACAAAATGTAAACGTAATATCCTCCACGTCGTTGGAAATACTGTCCACATGCTATGAGGACAGTTTAGTTAATTTTTAAAATATGCTTTTACTCATAAGCCAGTAGTTTTGACATACATGTAATTCATGGGAATCATACTTGGATTTAATAATGTCCGCTTTATTAATAAATTTTACAACACCATTTCAAACCAGCTTAAGATACAAAATAATTCCCATGATTGTAAAGCATCACTAGACAGTAGGGTTGACAAAGCCGTGTAATCCCGAGGACAACACTTGTTATCACCGAGGTCGGGATCAGTAGAAGTTACCTCCCCTTACATTTATATCGGGCGCCAATTAATAGTCCTATGCCACCTGGCTAATTTCCCCTATGTGTGTATGCCTGCGTGTGTGCTGGAGATGTATTATAAACGGTATCATTCATAGTGCCACCTCACTTGAATGCTAAAGCACAGATACCGCAACATCCACACCAGACCATTTTATACTCCATCTGGGTTGTTGGAGTTGTGTGGACAGGAGAAAAACACTTTCTCTGAATATTCCATGCATACCACGACTTCGGGGATCGAACCCCGGCCGACTGCATGGAAGGCCGGAATGTTTAGCGCTCGACAAATCCGCACAATGTCTTTTCTTAGCTATGCGTAGGTTATTAAGTAAAGACAAGATTAAAAATTCAGGCAGGACAGGTAATTGTGAATATCCAAAAGGCAGAATGGATATACAGCGCGTAGATTATATAATATTTATATACTTATAAAATGTTGTTCAATGTCAAAACATAACTATGGCCATATAGAATCGATATTACTGATGATAACAGCAGTTGTAGTATTAATGTACTGTACATGTGAAACCGTTTAACATATAACATATATACATGTATTTATATGAGTAGGATATTTTAAGATTAATCCCTCTCCTCGTGAGGCTCGCGTGCGTCCTACAACGACCGTTTTACCCCAAACCTGCTATCAGATAATTGAAATTTTAATTTCTTTCGTTTAAATTTTATTCGTATACGAAATTTCATGTTTAATCTTGATTTGAGTCTTCCTAAGGTGCTAAGGTGCTATCTATTTATAACGTACGCGTATCTTGATCGTACACATCATTCCTGTGTTAATGGAAGGACGGGCCAGATAAGTGTGATTTTCTAATTCATAAATACATTAGCCTTTAATGTGTGGAACTGTACACAGCTCAACAAGTTTCTAGCTTAATGTTGTTTAAAATTTATTAAACTGATGTATAGTTCATGTTTTATATAACGTCAAACATTTTTTAGTGTATGTCTGGTCAGGGATGTGTAGTGGACCCACTACACATCCCTGGTCTGGTACAATGTCAAACAATGTGTAGTGTATGTCTGGTACAATGCCAAACAATGTTTAGTGTATGTCTGGTACAATGTCCAACAATGTTTAGTTTATGTCTGGTACAATGTCAAACAATTTTTAGTGTATGTCTGATACAAT